TATCGCAATGCGAAATGAAAATCGCAACGACAAAATCGCAATGCGAAATGAAATCGCAACGACAAAATCGCAACGCGAAATGAAAATCGCAATGCGATTTGTGTTTCGCGTTGCGATTTTGTCGTTGCGATTTTCATTTCGCATTGCGATAGCCATTTCCGCGTTGCGATAGTCATTTTCGCGTTGCGATTTTAAGTTTCGTGTTGCGAAAGTAAACTATTCTTCTTCTGGAATGTTTATATATGTTGTCCTTTTAAATGTTTATATAAGTGCTTACTTCTGGAATGTTATCTGAGCATTTTGTGAACTATGATAGAATAATGACTTGGGTGAATACAATGCTAGTTTGAAACATATTTGTCTTTGTTTAATATCATGTCTGTTTATTTACTGATTTATGTATTAATTTTTTTTAGCGGCCCAATAAGGTGGATGCTTTACGTCGGGTTTTCCTTGCACGACGGAGTTCACGCATCAGACGGCGTGGACGTGCTATTACGTCTCCGTTCACCCCAATGGTGCGAAGACTCCACAAGAAGAAGCCCGACTCACCGGTCATCCCTCAAGAGTCCCCTCCAATCGTTCAAGAGGCCCCTATTCTCCCTCAAGATTCCCCCCCACCGTTCAAGAGGCCACTGTCATCGTTGAAGAGGTCCCTCCCACCATTCCAGAGCCCGATTCACATGGGGTAATATATCGAAGTATTGAGAAACCCCCAACGGTTCCGGACATGATGGATGAGAGTTGGCTCTCGTATGAGTTACCGGCTAGTACCCTTCCGGTATCTGAAGTGGAGAGGAGACAACTACCGGAAACAATTGTGGATAATACCCTTTGGGCTAAGACCGTAGTTGATTTTTATCTACATGAGCGGAGCCAAGGGTGTTACACTGACATCAGCAAACTCAACGATGAAATGTTTTTGTTGCTTGATCGGTCTTGGTGGGGTGTGCTATTAGGGGTTGAAGACAGTGGCTATTTGGATGGGGAGGTCAGTCTTATATTTGTCTTATATATGATTTTGATTAATTTGTTTAAAAATTAATGTAATTCACTAATATATGTATTTTTTTTTGTAAAACAGCATATCGATGCGTGGGTGTCACGTCTACTAATAATAAGGAAGCTTAGGAAAAATAAAAAAAATTCGCTATATACAATAATGCCGACGGCTTTTCACGCAGTTCACTTGAAGAATCAACGAGATGAATCATTTTTGTTGGACAATGGACAAGCTAAACTTTATCCTGCATGGTGGGAGGTCGATAAGGTTAGTGTTTATTTTTTAAATTTTTTAAAGGTGTTCATAAATAAGTGCGCAAATAAATGAATTATTACTTATGATCGCAGGTGTTTATCCCTGTTTTGGAACGTCGTCACTGGCTTCTCGTCCAACTTCAGCTCCCATCCCTGAAGATAATAGTGTATGACAGCATGATCAATTACATATCACTGTCTGATTTGAGAGATATTTTCAAGGGATGGAGCTCTCATTTGGCTAAATTCTTGGATGGGATTAAGTATAGGAGTCATTCTGGACACAAGAAGCCAAAGAAGTTCAATGTCACAGTTGTCAGAGACGAGACCGCGCCACAGCAATCGTCGGGAGCCAGAGGGGATTGTGGTCCTCTCGTATGCCTTTGCTTGGCGCGTTTGACGACGGGAAGCACAGAGTTTTTACCTCCCACCGATAGAGATAGAGCTGCAGTAGGCTTGTGGTTTCGGCATTATATGGCTAGAGCAATATATTCGAGACGCTGCCTACATGCATCCGCGTTATGAAAGTGTCCATTGTTAATTGGTAAGTCAAATGCAAGTTTTGTTAACATATATACTTCTTTTGGTTTGAAAATGTTTGGTTAAGTACCTAGAATTCAATAATTTGTTGTTTGTAGGTTTTATATGTGTAGGAAGTCTTGTTTGAGCAAATGTTTGGTTTCTGCAGGTTAATCCTTAAGTGAGCTGCGTGAAATGGATGTACGGGGTCACAAAGTTGTGGTTTCATTGATTCAATAATTGATGAAGAAATAAGAATTATTATTATTTTTTGATTGTTTAATTGATTTGTAAAAGATGATTTGTAAATGTTGATTTGTTTAATTGATGTGTACATAATTTGTGTTGAAATGTAATAGTTGATTTGTTGATTTTCAATCTGCTTTATGTTGAAGGCAAAACAGACTATCGCAACGCGAAATGGCTATCGCAACGAGAAAATCGCAATGCGAAATGAAAATCGTAATGCGAAATGAAAATCGCAATGCGAAATGACAATCGCAACGAGAAAATCGCAATGCGATTTTCATTTCGCATTGCGATTTTCGCGTTGCGATAGTCATTTTCGCGTTGCGATAGCCATTTTCACGTTACGATAGCCATTTTCGCGTTGCGATAGTCAAATGAATGTCTAATAAGTGATAACAACTGAACAGATCATAGCAATATTCAAACTCAAGTTACTAATACATGCCTAACTGAAAATGTTAAAAGTGCACACATAAAATACACATAATGCAAGTTTTGTTAACATATATACTCCTTTTGGTTTGAAAATGTTTGGTTAAGTACCTAGAATTAATTGTTAAAAGTTTATGCATGTTAATCCTCGTTGCCTTTTTCATTTCGCATTGCGATTCTATCGTTGCGATTTGCATTTTGCATTGCGATGGTCAAATGATTGCCTTTCGCAACGCGATTCTGACTTTCGCAACGAGATAATACAGAATCGCAATGCGAGTTTCAAAGTTCGCAACAGGTTTTAGTTTCGCAAGCCAAATTTTTTGTGTATATATCTACGCAGCAGCAACAACTCATAACCTAAATCGCAACTCATTCCATCTCCATCTATCACTCTCTCCGGCGACATCCGTTCCTATATCCAACGACATCCTTCCCCATCCGGCAACAGGTCTTAGTTTCGCATCTCGTTTGTTTAGTTACAACCATGAAATCATCTAATGTTGATCATGTTTGGATAGATTTGTGTTTTGGAGGGTCATGGGAGAATGTTCATGGTGTTTTACAATATATGCCTTTACCCATGAATCTTCAACTAAAACTGTCAATAAAGAAGTTAACTTATGAAACCCTAATATTACGTGTTTCAAAGAAATTGAATTTAGAGCCCCTAAGTGGATTTAGGCTATCTTATCAGAGAAATGGTAAAGTTTATTTGTTAACCGACAATGAAGATGTTGAACGATTCATTGCTTACATTAATGTTTCAAGTGATGATGTTACATTGTATGTTGTTGAACCTAGAAGTAGTATTGTTGGGTCAGTAGCGGGTAGTAATCAACTAAGTGGGTCTCAAAACCCACAGCCTTTCTCTAATCCAAATCCAAATCAACTTTCAGCACCAAATTCCGGTTTTCGTATTGACCAATTAGACGATGATGAGCCAAGAGAAAAAATTGTGAGTACTAGTCAGTATTCGAAATTTGATCTTGGTCAATACCCGGACTTTGATATTGGTCAATACACGGATTTTGATGATGTTTCAGAAGAAGAAACAGACCCTGCGTGTAATGATTTTGATATTGGTCAATACCCGAATTTTGATGATGAAACACCCATTGCCGAGGAAGATGTTGTTGATGATAATGAGGAGGAAGTTACGACTGTGAATGAACATGTTGAACATCCATTCTGTAATTCATATAATCCTGAAGAAGAAAAAGAAGAAGAAAAAGTCCCCGAAGAAAAGAAAATGCCACGGGAGTATAACTGGAATATGCCAGAATTACTTCAGCTACCGGAAGAAGAGTTGGCAAAGAAAGCAGTTGATTGTTACACAAAAGTTATTCGTATCAAGAAAGATGATTGTTTTGATACAAAGGAAGACTTGAAGATAGCTTTGTATACGAAATGTGTGGAAGATGGCTATCAACTAAAAGTTAACAAATCAAGCAAAGATCGTTTCGAAACAAGGTGTACGATTGACAAAAACTGTACGTGGCGTATGATTGCAAATAGGATAAAAGATTGCGCAATGTTTCAAGTTAGGACTTTTATTGATAAACATACATGTTCAAGAACCCAAGTTTTTCCTCACCATAGACAGGCAAACAAAAAGGTGTTGGGTGGTTTTCTGGCTGAGTTAATGTTTTTGAATGGCAGGGTATATCGGGGACATGAAATTATGACTGACATGAATGCTCGGTTCAAGATTAGTATATCATATTCTCAAGCTTGGAGAGCCAAATGTTATGCCTTGGAATTGTTGAGGGGGTCGCCAGAAGCATCGTTTGCCCAACTGCCGGCTTATTGTCACAATTTAAAGCTGAAAAATCCTGGGTCGGTAACTCATATCAAAACAGATAGAGATGGACGCTTTGAGTTGTTGTTTATCGCCATTGGTGCTGCGGTTAGTAAATCAATATAATTCTGTTGACTCATTTCTGTTAGTTACATGCATTTCACATTTAAATGATTATATTTCTTGTGTATATTATTTTGTAGATTCGTTCGTTTATTACTTGCATGCGCCCAGTTATTATAGTTGACGGAGCACATTTGAAAGGTCGATACCTTGGAGTAAACTTATTAGCAGTAGCCATGGATGCTAACAATGGGATATTGCCAATAGCTTACGGGGTTGGCAAATCTGAAACCTCTGATTCATGGACATGGTTTATGGGGCATCTTAGGGATTGCATAGGTCCTATTAGCAATCTGACAATCATATCCGATAGGGCAAACTCAATTGACAACGCTGTTAGAAGGTGTTTCCCAGATGCTTTTCATGGACTTTGTGGTGTTCATTGTATAGAAATCTAAAATCAAGGTCTGCTGGTATAAAAAAGCACAAATGGACATACTGGAAGGCTGTAAAGGCTTATCGGGAAGTGGATTTCAATAAGCATATAAACTGTTTAAGACGTGTTTTGCCTCAGTGTGCTCAAACACTAGAAGATGTCGGGTTTGAAAGATGGTCAAGAGTACATCAACTTGGAGCAAGATATGGTTTCATGACGTCTAATAGTGCAGAATCAATTAACGCTCTAAGTCGTCATTCCCGGAAATTACCCATTACTATGTTAATGGAGTTTTTTCGAGCCTCTATTCAACAGTGGTACTACAAGAAAAGAAACCATGCAGGTATTATTTCTTTGAATTCGTAACTTATCATATATTTTACTAAGTATTATTTATTTAAATTTACAGGAACATTGGAACATCGTGTTACACCATGGACTGAAAAAAAGATAACGAAACGTGTTGTGAAGTCAACGTCATGGAGAGTTGAACCATGTTCAAACACTTTGTTTGAAGTACTGGATAATAACTTAAATGGGCTTGTCGATCTTAATGCAAGGACGTGTAGTTGTATGAAATGGCAAACATCTGGTTATCCATGTGGCCATGTTATAAAAGTTGCTCTTCATCTAAACCAAGATGATTCAAGCACATACGCTATGGATTGCTACACTACAGAAGTATATCGACAGACTTATGCCGAGATTGTCTACCCTATTTCACATCCTTCTGAGTGGGACATACCAGATGCCTTACAAACAGTTTTGCCACCAGCCATGGACAGAAGGCTACCTGGCCGACCAAAAAGTCACGATCGTATACCGTCTAAGGGTGAAGAGAAGAAGAGATCGACATGTAGTCGGTGCAAGGAAAGTGGTCATACAAGGTTGACATGTGGATCACCAGTGCCATCACAATCATCTTTTCCTCTACCAAAATATGGATCATCATCAAAATCCAAAGCTCATATGGTGTTAAGAAAAAGGCAATCAAAATCGCAATCATCTTTAAAATCCCAATCACAACTGGCTTCACCTTTTGGGACTGTTAACTTAGGTGATTTTTAAATGCAAACGTTGTATTATGTAGATTTTATGTGTGAACTTTTAACATTTTCAGTTAGGCATGTATTAGTAACTTGAGTTTAAAAATTGCTATGATCTGTTCAGTTGTTATCACTTAATAGGCAATCATCTTAATGTCTATCGCAACGCGGAAATTACTATCGCAATGCGAAATGAAAATCGCAACGAGAGAATCACAATGCGAAATGAAAATCGCAACGCTAATTTCACAATGCGATAGTACTTTTTGCCTTCAACATAATGCAGATTGAAATCAACAAAATCAACCATTACATTTCAATCAATTAAACAAGCACAAATAAGAATTATGTTAACATCAATTAAACAAATCAACTTTTACAAATCACCTTTTACAAATCAATTAAACAATCAAAAAATAAGCAATAATTATTAGAGAAAATAACACTTCTACTATTGAATCAACTTTTGCAGCTATACATCATTTTCACGCAGCTCACTTCTGAGATTAACCTGCATAAACCAAACATTTGCTCAAACAACACTTTCTACACATCTAAAACCTTCAAACAGCAAATTATTGAATTCTATGTACTTAACCAAACATTTTCAAACCACAAGCCTATAAACATACCAATTGTTTATGGACATTTTTATAACGCGGATGCAGGTAGGCAGCGTCTCGTATATATCGATCTAGCCATATAATGTCGAAACCACAAGCCTACTGCAGCTCTATCTATATCGGTGGGAGGTAGATACTTTATACTTCATGTGATCAAACGGTCCAACGCCAAGCATACGAGAGGACCACAATCCCCTCTGGGTCCTTTCGTTTGTTGTGGTGCGGTCTCGTCTCTGCTAACTGTAATATTGAGCTTCTTTGGCTTCTTGTTTCCAGAACGAGTCCAATAATTTATCGCATCCAAGAATTTAGCCAAATAAGAGCTCCATCCCTTAATAATATCTCTTAAATCAGCCAATGATATGTAATTTATCATGCTGTCATATACTATTGCCTTAAGGGATGGGATCTAAAGCTCGACGAGAAGCCAATGGTTACGTTCCAAAACAGGGATAAACACCTGCAATCATAAGTAATAATTCATTCATTTGCGCACTTATTTATGAATACCTTTAAACTCAATCTAAAATAAACACTAACCTTATCGACCTCCCACCATGCAGGATAAAGTTTAGCTTGTCCATTGCCCAACGCAAATGATTCATCTCGTTGATTCTTCAAGTGAACGGCGTTAAAAGACGTCGGCATAATTGTAAATCGTGTATTTCTTTTATTTTCCTTAAGTTTCCTAATTATTAGAAGACGTGACACCCACGCATCGATATGCTGTTTTACAAAAAAAGACATATATTAGTAACTTACATAAATTTACAAAAAAATAATCAAATGAAAATATAAGAAAAATATAAGACTTACCCCTCCATCGAAATAGCCATTGTCTTCGACCCCTAATAATACGCCCCACCAAGACCGATCAAGCAACAAATAGATATCATCATTGAGCTTGCATATGTCAGTGAAACACCCCTGGCTTCGCTCATGTAGATAAAAATCAACTGCGGTCTTAGCCCAAAGGGTGTTATCCAGAATTGTGTCCTGTAGTTGTTTCTTCTCCTCTTCAGATACCGGTATGGTACTGGCCGGTAACTCATACGAGAGCCAACTTGAATCCATCATGTCCGGCACGTCAGAGGGTTTCTCAAGAATCCTACATATGACGCCATGTGAATCGGGCTCTTGAATGGTGGGAGGGACCTCTTCAACGATGACAGTGGCCTCTTGAACGGTGGGAGGGGACTCTCGAGGAATGATAGGGGCCTCTTCAACGATAGGAGTGGACTCTTGAGGGATGACAGGCGAGTCGGGCTTCTTCTTGCGGTGTCTTCGCACTATTGGGGTATACGGAGACTTAATAGCACGTGCACGCCGTCTGATGCGTGAACTCTGTCGTGCAAGAAAAACCCGACGTAAAGTATCCACCTTATCGGTCCGCTAAATAATTAAATACAAATATCAGTAAATAAACAGACATGATATTTAAACAGTGAAAACAAAGATAAATATATTTCAAACTTTCAACCAAAAGACAAAACAAAGACAAATACTAACTTCACAGTGTTAAAGTAAAAAGTTTAGCAGTTTTGGCAGCAACCGAATAAATTTACTAAGCAATCTAAGTGAAATGGTTAATTTAAGTGAAATTACGAGTAAATTTATCATCAAGTTAAATATGGAAAATCTTAAACTTACCTCGTTGCGTAGAGTATGAACCTCATTCTGCAACGATACTACCATCTCATGTAGAGCGGCAACCTCACCACGTAAAGTAGACACCTCCACACGCCATGCACCATCGTTATCAAGTAGAGTACCGATCTCCTCATGCAAGGCATTGACCTCATCACGTAACTCCCTTGACTCATCCCGTGGAGGTGGAGAATAGGGAGATAGAAGTCGTGGCATCTTTGCCGGTCGCCTATCATGAGGTGATGGTGGAGAAGAGGCTCGATGATGTGACGGGATAGGTGATGGCTCTCGTTGTAGAGGTGTATAGTCGGGTCGATCAGGTGATGGCTCTGGGTGAGGTGATGGCTCTCGAAGTGGAGGAAGTAGAGGCTGCTCATCATTCGTGCCATCAAGAAAACGCTGACTAGCTTGCCACCAATCAGTGGCAAGCTCAGCCTCCGTGGGTGTCAGTCTCATTAATGGAATGTTGGCCTCCTAAAAATATAATAACTCAAACAAAGTTAAACGTCTACTATTAATAACTTGTTTATATATGATAGTATTTGTGTTAACTTACATTATTTATTGTCGCATATGGTATTAAGGCTTCCCAATCCAACAGATGTTTCCTCTTCCAGGAAATAGCCCTGGGAATATCATTTGAAGTTTTTATTGCATATGTCTTCATGGCGGGAAAGGCCTCGAATATCCAAATCTACAAACAATATAATAACAAACATTAGTAATTGTTAAATAATTAATTATAATTTTGAAAACATTATATAGAAATTCTTACCTTAAAGCCCAAACAAAGCCTGACAAAGTGTATTTCGACCCATCGCCCCGTAAACTTTTGCGGTCATCAAAGGCAGACGACAACTTAGTCCAGGTAGCTTTCCATATATACGAACCCCACGGAAACAGATTCCATGCATTTAGGTCCTCTACCAATAATATTAGCTCCTGAGGAATAGGTTGTCTGGCCTCTCTACCTAAAAAGCCGGCATACAAAAGTAGTAGAAGGCATACTCGGACAACATCGACGTCATTCATCCGAGTAAAACCATCTTTCTTATTAAACAATTTCTTCATGTCGTCGACGTGTAAGTTCGGTTTCTCTATTGACTCATCAGGAAAAACCATGGATAACCATGATGGGCGGGTGATATGACGAGTGTACCGGCCTACATCATCGTGTCCGAATCGTAGACCAGTGATTAAGCAGAACTCCTTCCGCCCAAAACAAGTATACGCCGGTGGAAAATGAAACCATATCTCTTCCTCACTACGTTGTATACTGTCGGGTAGATCGCTAGTCATGGTCTGAAGCCACAAATGGGTCAAACTAGCATCTCCACCCGGATGCTGTACTCTCAGCCATGGCCCGAAGCAGGTTTCTTCAAACAATTTTCTTTGTGCAGGTGAAAGCTTCGAAGCAATTGTAGTGGCTAGGCTAACTTTATTCCTTAAGGTCAATGAAGCCGAAAAAAATTTCTACAAAAAAACAATAAACATACCAAGTTAGATATACCAAAAACTACACTGTCAAGATATACCAAAAACAAAACAATAAACATAAATAGTAGTTTATTCTTGAAACTAAAATTTGCAACACTGTTTTTGTCTTTTGGTTGAAATGAAAATCGCAACGAGATAATGAGAATCGCAACGCGGAAATGACTATCGCAACGAGAGAATCGCAACGAGAGAATCGCAACGAGAGAATCGCAACAAGAGAATCGCAACGCGAAATGACTATCGCGACCAGACAATCGCAACGCGAAATTAAAATCGCAACCGCGAAATGAAAATCGCAACGCGAAATGAAAATCGCAATGCGATTTTTGTTTCGCGTTGCGTTTTTTATTTCGCGTTGCGATAGTTATTTCCGCGTTGCGATTTTCATTCTCGAAACTATTCTTCTTCTGCATTACTTCAACCAAAAGACAAAACAAAGACAAATACTAACTTCACAGGCTAAACAGTTTAGCAGTATTGGCAGCAATCGAATGAATTTAATAAGAAATCTAAGTGAAATGGTTAATCTATTATTGAAATTACCAGTAAACTTATCATCAATCTCAATATGAAAAACCTAAAATAATGCAAAAATTTCAAAATAAAAATAAAAAAAAACTAACCCTCGGAGGTTGATTTTCCATTTCTGAATGATTGTGAGGGATTTTTGACTGTGAATGGTTGTGAGGGATTTCGCCGGCGATGGGGACGGAAATCTTCGGAGATGGGGACGGATTTCACCGTAGAGAGTGAGAGATGGAGATGGGACTGAGTGTTGTGATTTTGGGTTTGAGGTTATGAGTTGTGATTACTATGGACGGTTCAGTTTCCGATTTATTAAGAAAAAATTCGTGTTTGGAATTTGAAAAAAAAATACGCGTTAATACGAATGGCGCTATGTAAATCGCGTTGCGAAAGTCAGAATCGCGTTGCGAAAGTCAGTATCTCGTTGCGATTTTGTATTATCGCATTGCGATAGTAAGTATCGTATTGCGATAGTCAGTATCTCATTGCGATTTTCCCAATTCGCGTTGCGATTTACTTATTCGCATTGCGAATTGGGAAAATCGCAACGACACTGTATACCATCGCAACGCGATTTCCAACTATCGCAACGCGAAATGCAACGCGAATTTGCGATAATGGAGATCGCGTTGCGAATTAGCGATCGCATTGCGATTTTGTTGGTCATTTTGGCAAATCCGGAAAAAGTTGGTTAAAATCGTATATTATATGAGATTTTTGGTCACTGAGGTTATTTTCTCTTTTAAGAATTATAGTAGATTATTAATACAAGAAATAAAAAAGAATATAGTCACTAAAATAAATTTAATAATTTATTTATAATTGAAATTATTGTGATGTTAGAGAGATGTAATTGATATAATGTAGTTAATAAATAATATGATATAATTAATGTTTTATATTATTAAGTTAATTGAGAATATGACAACACTAAAATCACTAAAATAAATTTAATAGTTTATTTATAATTAATTTAATATTTTAAATTAAATTTACTGTTTTCATATTTATTTTGTAATGATTATATATATGAAATCATTACGAATAATTTAATATTCAAATTATAATATATATTATATTATAATTAATGATAATATATATATATTATATATTATAGTTAATATTTAAATTATAATCATAAGATGTGACATGTGTCACAATTTGATTGGAGAAATAAATTTATTAAATTGAATTGAATTTAGGACCTAATTAAAATTTAAGAATTAAAGTTAATCTTGATGATCAAATTGATTAATTATAAAATCTAGGTGATTTAATCTACAAATTTAATACATGACTAGAATAAAAGATTTTAAAGTTAACGCTCAAATTAAGGCATTAGAAAAATTAAAAACAAAATCAGGAACAAATTGGATTAAATGAAAATCCAAGGAAAAAAATAATATACTAGTAGTGACCAAAATGTAAGAAAACAAAATAAGGTGCCAACGTCGAGAATAAATAACTTTACAAGGACTCATGCCCTAATTATATCAATTTTTTTAACTGCCACGTAAACTATTTCATTAAATGTTAACTTCGTGTGGCCATTTCGAATCCATTTAAAAAATTTAGTGGTACATTTGTCACAATTTTAAAAATGATGGTCATTTCGTAACCTGGCCCATAGTTACTTGGTCATTTATGTAGTTTACTCTATAATGTAAGGAAATGGTGCATTTAATTTAAGCCATTTTAAAATACAATGCCGAACTTATCTAATCCTAACGGAGAAAATGCCAACTTGCGTTCCTTCCTTCTATAATAAAGGCGTTTCACTCGTAGTCCACTTGGCCCCTTTCCCATCCTCGTAACGCAATGCCAAAAGCTTGTTCATTGTTTTTTGTTCTCATATCAGCTGATTAATTGAACTACTAGATTAGAAAGAGAAATTCAATGGGGGGCAGCCTTGTTTTCCATTTTCCGAATGATCTGTGAATCTGTTCAGCTTCCAGCAAAATTAATCAATTTAGTGTGAGGGAGAAGGAACTGTGTCCTTCGATAATCGGCCGAAGCGATATAAAGAGTAATCTAGATGGCGATACTGTACGCTCTGGTTGCCCGTGGATCGGTGGTGCTGGCGGAGTTCACGGCGGCGTCTACGAACGCAAGCGCCATTGCCAAGCAAATTCTAGAGAAAACAACGGGAGACAACGACATTAACGTTTCGTATTCGCAAGATCGATACATCTTCCACGTCAAACGCACCGATGGACTCACTGTTCTTTGCATGGCAGACGAAAGTGCCGGAAGTAAGCCCATTATCTTTTCTTTTCTTTTTCTTCTTAATACTGAACTATAATTGATTAAATGAGCAATTTCAGTTTCCAACCATTTTCGATTTGTTCAAAATTAAAGGAAAAAATAAGATTAAATTAGGCGATTGATTAAAAGTTCAAGTGTGCAATTTCAATTCTAGAATGGGGAAATGCTTAAAAAATCATTCCGGTGGTGATCATATCATTTCGGCAACGGTAGCGATGGATGCTATGCTTTGAAAAAATAACACTCATCTTCGGGTTTCGAAGGAATATTTCAATTTTAGCGCGACATTCTGTTGATTTTTCATTAATCAAACCGAGAGTTAATAGTTAGAATATCCTTCTGGGGTTATGGTTAGCAATTTCTTTCTGATTTCTTCTTTGTTAAGAACCCTTTTTGTCCAATGTTGCTGCTGATGAACATTTTCTTTGGTGATGGTGAATGTGTTTATTGTGTTTTTTTTTTTTGCAGGGCGAATTCCTTTTGCATTTCTCGAAGATATGCACCAGAGATTTGTAAGGACATACGGCCGAGCGGTACTTTCAGCCCTCCCCTATGCCATGAACGATGAATTTTCAAGGGTTTTGAGCCAGCAAATGGAATATTACTCCAATGATCCTAACGCTGATAGGATAAATCGCATAAGAGGTGAAATGAATCAGGTGGGTTTCAAATGCTTGAAACTAGATTTCTCTTTGCGTCGCATGAAAATAAAATTTCTATTTTGATCTGTGTTTCCAAACTCCAAAAATTTGACATGTTATGTTTAAGGGAAGCCCTACAATAACTGCAATTATGGCCATATCCTTATGTTTTCTTTTGTGTTGTAATAGGTGCGAAACGTTATGATAGAGAACATTGACAAAGTTTTAGAGAGAGGTGATCGCCTAGAATTGCTGGTTGACAAAACTGCTAATATGCAAGGAAATACCTTTAGATTCAGAAAGCAATCTCGCCGTTATAAAAACACAGTGTGGTGGAGAAATGTCCGGTTTACGTATGATTTCTGAACTTTAACCACATAATTTGTATGTTTACATTGACTAGATTGAGTTTGGAAGTTAAAGTTACAAAAGAATTGCATGATTTTCCAATAGAAGAGGTATCTTTCTGTGTAAATTTGTTCCTCGAAATTTCAGTGATGCTAGCTAGGATGGGTGAATTGATCACTTACTGACTTGCTGGGCATATTGCAGGGTTGCTCTGATAATCTTCCTGCTGATTATTGGTTATATTGTGCTAGCTTTTGTTTGCCACGGGTTCACGCTACCTTCCTGTATCTAAATGGGGTCAACAGTTTGAGAGTTTCCAACTCATTCTGCAGCACCATGCCCCTTCTTCCTCCGTTTTGGTATACTTCGTTTTATTTTTCTTATTGTCTGCTTGGGGATGCTTCTGTTTCAATCTCCTCCGCAATGACTCGCATTTACTTTCTTTGTTTATCTGATATTCCTATGTGAAGAGCTACCACTTTCATGCGGCACTCATTGTTTGAACTTGAAACTTGTTGGTATTTGTCTAACGACATGGGTTGACTAATCATATTTATTCCAAGACAATTAGACAATAAATTTTTGTGTGAAACGTCTACTTATCTTCATTGATACTCTTATTTTGCATACTATAAAGTTGTTTTAGCTAATACAAACATCAACGGAGTGATGCGCAAGTCATTCATGGCCAACAGTTGCATGTCTTCTTGGCATATCATTTGTTACGTAAGTATTGTATCCATCATAGGAGCTCAATGAGATCTCTAGATCGGAATGTAAGCATTATATTCATACTGAAAATGCCATGATCTTTAATCTAGTTTCCAGAAATATTACCAAACATGTCGCCTATAGGCTCTTTTATTATACTCTTTAACGTTAAATTTAGTGAATTATATACATAACTACTATAATTTAACTTTTTTTTTTAAACAGAAACTTATGTACACTTAACTAAACTTATAATCATGACTTCTATTTTAGTTTCCTATACCACGTAAGCAGCCTTTTTAATTGATGTGCCTTTGAGTGGATTTTATTTTTTTGAAAAAAAAAATCAAAGAGAGTTTGGAAAGGAAAAAAAAAAAAAAAAAAGAGTAATTTTAATTCTTTGTTTATTTAAGCATTTAGAGGTAATGACGTTCTAACAATTTAAACAAAAAATGCTACTTTTAATAATAAATTATTACATTATAACAATATTTTCGGCGAATCAAAAATGTAAATAAAATTTTATAAAAAATTATTTCTCAGTGATAATCTTTTCTATAATCAAACTTCCACATAATTTATTTCTTAACCATTAACATTTTCCGTACACTGAGATATTTCACATCATTTTAATCTTCATTTCAAAGCCCAATTTAGATTTTCGATCGACCCAATTTCGGTGCTGGGAGCCTCTCTTCAAATAATCCATTTTCTTAAAACTGAAAAAGGAGAAGAAGAGTTCACGAACGCAGTGATTATATTATATACTAACCTTCATTTCTAAGTATGGATTTTGATTTTCAATTCAGAAATAAACTTTCGGCATTGAAAAGTAAATCATAAAAAGCAGGAATTATCTACCTTATCCTTCTTCTATCATTATTTCATGTTTAACTTCTTTTTTTTTTTTGGATAAGTAAGATTTTATTATCCGAATAAGGTTCAACAAACAACCAACATCCCAAGAGGGAGTAAAAACCCCTATTTACAACAAAAAATAGCTTAATCTAGACCCCAATAATTACAAAGATTAGATTTTATATTATCAGATCTATTGATATCTTTACCACTAAGTTGAATACGAACAAACTCTTTGACAGATTGAAGAACTTGGGATGTTGTTCTTGATCCACCTTTGAAAATCCTTCTGTTTCTTTCCTCCCAAATCAAGTAGTTAAAAGCGTTCCATGCAATTCTTAGAATGATAGAAAGTAAGGATTTTCCCTTCCATTTTTGAGCAGCACCATCTATCATTGAATCCCACATATTGTGAGTATCACATATGCTGGAAAGATTCATGATAGAGTTCCAGATCGAAGAAGCATAAGAACATTCAAAAAACAAGTGATTTCTGGATTCAAGTTTCTCATTACATAGAATACATAAACGATCAGTAGTTATTCACATTCTAAAAAGTCTATCACGAGTAGGGAGACGATCAAGAAGAGTCATCCAAGAAATCATGCTATGTTTTGGGATATGAAGAGGAAACCAAAGTATTTTCTGCCATAAATAAAAACAACACATACATAAATAAAAATACATAAACTATGTAATTCATTTCTATAGAAGGGATCAGATGGATCGGCCAGAGATGCTCGGATTAGCTGGGAACGAATTTGTTCTCCCAAGTGTGAAGGGGGTATCTATGGGGACGAAGAATATTCTAATTTAGAATAAAGCGTGTATGATAAGATGCTTATGATTCTTTTTTGGCTCAAACTAATTTGCTTTGAGTGGCATGGATTGATAAGTATGTTTTGAAGGGCTGCTTCATTTGACAAGCCCCTTCGAAGAGTTGCAATAACTGGGCTTGGAAGAAAATTCTTCGCTTAAGGGACGATTACACGCTTGTTGATAAGTTAGATGGGAAATTTCAAGCAAGAAAGGTCTGGGAATCACTTAAGATGTAAATCGGAGAAGATTCCTTGGTTTAAGGTTCCACTTTTCCTTACTTATTTAAAAAAGACATACTATATGGTCACTTTCGTTTTTATTTATTTAAATATGGTCACTTTCATTTTTATTTAATTAAGATGTGGTCATCGTGGGTTAACTGTCGTTAATAGTTAATAGATTAGGTGATGTGATATTTTAGTATAATCACACATTTGGTCCATGTTATTTACATATTATCTCAATTTAATCCTACTTTTAATAAATTAAAATAAGTTTAATACTCCAATCAAATAATACCACGTGTCATTAGTATCACGTGTCATGTCATATGTCACCATTCGGTTTGAGGATTAACTTTATATAAAAATTATGAAATATTATGAATTTAAATGTATATTTTTAAATTAAAATAAAAATAAATTAATTTAAAATTAAGTTAGTCCTCCAACTTAATTGTGACATGTGGCACGGACACGTGGTACTAGTGATATGTGTCATCATTCAATTGAAGGATCAAATTTATTTTAATTTATTAAATGTATGACTAAATTGAGAGAATATGTAAATAACATGGACCAAATGTGTGAATATACCAAAATATTTAATGACAATTAACTGGTGACCACATCTTAATTAAATAAAAACGAAAGTGATCATATGTTAGGTTTTTTGAAATCAGTGAGAAAAAGCGGACAAAACGCAAACAATAATACTGATTAATCATATAGTTAACCCATTATTTATATATCAAATAATTTTTATAAATTAAATTTAAGGAGAAATAATAAATTGAAAGAAGATTAACGCATGTGCATAATATATGATATATGACTATCATGTATTTGAAAAGAATTAAGATCTATTCGGGTCTTGCATTAATTCTCCTAAGCCATATTGAGTGCAGTATCATGTGAAACATATCAAATCTCTTAGAAGGTTGGTTTAACATAAAATGTTTACGCACGATTCTCACACCGTCTTGAAGTTTCCGGTATTTTTCTTCTGGAATTGCCAATAAAATCTCTTTCAATCTCGGAATCTTCGTTGTTTCCACCTGTACCGAGAAAGCCTCCCACCGCAACACATCACTGAAAGGCAACACATAGTTATCCGATAAAATAACCGGCACACATTCAGAGTATATGGCCTCGACAATCCTTGGACTGGCAACTTCATACCCACTTGGGCATAGACAAAATTTTGATTGCAGCATGTAGGAGTAATAGTCTTTGTTTTTCGGGAGGTATTCGTAAACCTGCATGTCATCATCTCTGCCTTTCCAGTGTTGGAGGAGATGCGGGCGGATTGGACCGTGAAGTCCACCGGCAAAGAAAGAGAGATACGGTCGAGAAGCATTGCACGGTGGCGGGTGGATGAGTTTAGGGGATAAGTAGCCACCGTTGAGGCTGATCTCGGGAAGGCTTACGTCCTTTTGTGGATTAAAGCCTTCGGAGGTGTTGGCATTGCACAACACTCGAATTGAATTGTTGTAGAGGAGCGAGTTTCCTTTTGATGCATGAGGCCCCTGCAAAAGGAACATGAAGCGATATAGTTTAATTATTGATTTCGGTCGGTTATATAAATGGTTGTAATATAATTAATGTAAAAAAGAAAGAAGGAAACATAAGAGAGGAGAAAGAGAAACTGACCCAATCATGACAAGCAAGCATGAAGTGGTCAGCGCCATGAGTTCGATTCCAGAATGGGTGTTTGGTGGATATCACCTTCACATAATCTGAAACAAACTGCTTAAGAGGAGTAACGTTGAAACTAAGAGGCGTGTAAATATACTTGACCATCCAGGTGACACTGAAGGGCATGAAATAAACGTGAGCACGTTGTGGATCATTTGTCCTGAACCTCTTAGCCCCATGCTCCATCTCGTGTATGAATCTGCCTTCTATCGTGTATATTTCCTTACATGGCCCATCGTGGACTATTGGCACCTCTCCTTCTGTGTACACATAAACTTTGAATCTCCTTTCCATCTCTACATAACTCCTGTACTTATAATTAACACAATAAATAAATTTATGCTAACTGTAATCCAAAATTTATTAGTCATGATTTTGACACCTTCGCCTGGTATTAACAGTTAATGGTTAATTATATGTACTATATGAATACGAGCAATATCATCATTGAAGATGTTGCTTAATGATATGGACATGCATGATGAGACTAGATCTCAAGGAGCATATATATACTACAAAACGCGTGCATAAGAACATTATTTTTTCAGATAAAACTTAAAGCAGATAATTCTAAATCTTTTTAACATTCACTCATTGAATCACCTAACTAAAGTATACTGATTAAAGATAATTTGAGGCATTTTCTCTTGTCATCTTCACACCAATTTAACAATAACGACAGCAGAACACCTTGCTACTACCATACAAGTAAAATTATATTCTCCACGTGTTGAGTAATAATTTATGCAAGCAAGTTGAATTTGTGTTTCTTGGACCACATTTAAAAGCCCACTACATTTTTGACCCAGCTCCAAAGCTATCCCTCATTATAACCTTGCAAATTGCATAAGACTTCACCACTAATACAAGATATAGATATATATATGGACCGAATAAAAAAATAGTTTTTATTTAATTTTTATTTACTATTTAAAAAAAATATAAGTTTTTAATATAAAAACTTTAATTTATTTTGAAATTGTGGACAACAATACTTAAATACGCCGTGCACGTGTAAAAGCGGCAGCGGCACTTTTTCAGTAGCTAGCTAGCTATTATAATACTTATCGAGTGTGGAATGTAAAGAAGAAATGAGTGCGTTGGCGAGTGCGCAACTCCTCAATTCGTTTTAATTTCCCCGCCTTGGCTTCAGTCGGAAGAAAACAAGTTCTCAATTATTAAACTCTCTTTGAATTACACAAAAAATATAAAGACATATCTATAATTAATTTACTATACCTTCGAAGCAAAGCAGTTTCGAAGACTCTTTTTAGTAAAACTTTATTAACTAGCAAGTATAACACAGCATAACTTCTATTAAAAAAGTATAGCATGAACTAATGATTTCCTCAGTTTTTTTTGTTAAAAAAAAAGAAATTAACTCTTACTGATAAAATGCGCTTGGATTACGATAGACATCTCCAACGGGAACGTCGTTACCGTTCTTGAAAGAAGAAAGCCTAACGATTCGAGAGATGGCCGCCGAGCGAATCGAAGCTCGAGCTCTGGCTAGTCCTTGTTCTAAAACTTGTTCTCTGCTTAGTTTCTTTGTTTCTCTCTGCAATGAAACGATAACATATAATTAATCATATTTCATTAATATTTTTTTATAATAACAAAGAAAATAGGAACAAAATTGAAGCGAGAGATGAAAAAAGTTATGAAACATTAAATCTCGTTTTAAGATACTGATCTCTGGCATTTATCTTTAAGATTAATCAAACTATTAGCTAACAATTTCCCCCCAATCCGTTAGAGAGGGAGAGGAGGGAGATAGAAAGTTTTACTACAACGGTGCTGTTTCGGTTGAGGTGATGATCATCATCAGTTGATCTGCTGGAACTAACGGCTCTGATTTGACCAGAAGTAGAAACGATTAGTCTCTGCAACTCTAATTTAGGTCCTGGCGATTCAAGAGTTGGAGCCGAGATGCTCATGAAGGAATTGAAATGATTATAGTTAACTAAAACCATAAGGATCGTGAAAACACATAGGCATAGCAACGTGAAAGCCGACACTGAATATCTACAGCAACCCGCCATGATATGAAAGCTTTTTTTGATTTTCAATGAGAAACAATGTGTTTGGATAGTGTGCTACCGTGATCCATTTTCTCGAGCAAATTATGAAGGAAAAAGCGAGGGAAAACGGCGATTTCTACATAGTAAAATTAGAGAAGGCGTCGCGGGAGAAGCATGAAGAAATTTGTTTGGCCAGCCTTGGTGTTTGCCCAATTAAATACCCGTTTGAGGGAGTGGTGAAATTACTTATTTGACCATGAGAGCTTATTAATTGATAATGCTAATTAATTTGTTATTAAAATGTTGGTGTTAATTAAAGTTATATATAGAATCTATTATTTATCTAAAACTTAAAATTTAAAAAAAACTTTGGACCATATATTTTATGATATAGAATTATCTTGATATTATTATTGTATTTTTAAATACAATTTAAGTTTATATCCACAAATAAAAATTTAAAATATAATATCATTTTCATTTAAATATCAAAAAGTATTTTTGGTCAAAATAGATATCTAAAGTATTTAATTTTCTTTTATCCAATTTTTCAAAAAAAAAAAATTGACATTTGATATTAACTAAAAATACTTAAGATAATTACATGAAAAAATTGAATACTTCATATAGCTTGATCAAAAAATTATTTTAGGTGCCTATTTTAACCCAAAAAAATAAATTTAGATATATATTTTTATAAAAGAATAATTTAAATAAAAAAATATAAACTTTTATTTTACAACATCATTATTATCATATTTGAAAACATCAACATAAAAACTCAAAATATTGTTTGATGTAATTTAATAATTTTATATTTTAAAATTTCAAATTATTTGCATATTTTTCTAGATTACATACTTTATATTATTTTTGTTAATATCATTGCTTTTATTATTATTATTGTTAAGTCAAATTTTTTAATAAGATTAATTTTTTATAAAATAATTATGTGTTTAAATAAAATAATCACAAATATTGGCATTTTAAAATTATGTAATATTTAAAAAAAATTCGCCTATTTTGACATAGTTTATACACTGCCTAAATATTTTTCATTAAAGATGAAAATAAAAATACAATTAAGAGAGTAACTTTTATCTCTTGTTTCTCTGAAACGTAGGATTTAATTTTTTTTTAGAAAAGATATAACAAAGTTACATTAAAAAAGAAAAGGAAAATAGAACACATTTTTTCATTATTATAAAAAGTACATATATATTATAACTGATTTACATCTACATATTCGTGTTTTTTCTTATAACGTAGGATTTAATTCTTTTAGGAAAAAAAGAATAAAACTAAGTTCAAAAAGAAAAGGAAAATAGAACAATTTTTTCGTTATTATAAAAAAGTACATATATATTATAACTGTGATCTACATCTACACATCATATTTTATGTGCAAAATATATTCATTAATCTGACAATACTCGGTTAAGCCTCCTAAGCCATACTGAATGCATCACCATATGCATTATATCGTATGGTTTAGCCGGTCGATGGAGCACGAAATGTCTTTGTACGGCAAGGACCCTCCTTTGTTTTTTCAAATATTCTTTCTCGGAAATCCCTTGCAGTATTGTTTTGATTTCCGGTATCTTTCCGACGGGAACATGAACGGAAAATTTACTCCAGTCGAGAACATCGTTGAACGGTAGCACATAGTGATCGGAAACAATCACCGGAACACAACCGGCAAGTATAGATTCAACCTCTCTCGGGCTTGCAACTTCGTATCCGCTAGGGCAAAGGCAAAACTTACTTTGGCTTATTAGTTGAGTGTAGTTTAGGGTTTTGGGGAGGTATCGGAATACTCGAACGTCACAGTCTTTTTGTTCCCAATATTTGAAAAGCATTTTCCTCAATTCCCATGTTGGCCACCTGCGAAGAAGGCTAGAATGGAACGGTTGTTTGGATGTTGGCCCTTTCGAGGCTTTCCCAGCTCCCCATAACGAAGGTACACTTCCGGCAGTGAAACGTCTCTATCAGGTTTGAATCCTTCAGAGGAGTTGGCATTGCAAAGAACTCTAATGAAATGCTTGAAAAGCTTCGGATCGCTGCTGAAACGTCCGGTGCCTGAAAACAATCATTTTGATCATAGAAATGAACCAACTGATAACGTACGTAAAAGTATATATTATATACCCAATCATGGCAAGAGATCATAAAATGATCAGCTCCATCGCTTCTATTCCAGTAGGGATATCTGGTTGATACAATGCCAATGTAGTCCTTTACGATGTTCTGAAGGCGCTCACGAGAATAATTCGTATATGGCCTGTAAACGTACTTCACAATATTCACGACGCTAACGGGGAGGAAAAATGCAATGGCCTCGTCAGGGGTTGGAGCTACGAATGGTGAAATATCGCTCTCCAGTTCATCAATAAATTGCCCCTCGATGGAGTATATATCATTTACAGGACCTTTATGAAAGAGCGGTGCATCTCCTTCCTTGTATGGCCACACTCTGAATCGCTTCTGCATCTCAATGTGGCTCCTGAATTATGCATTAACTAGATTAGCTAGACCGATTCATTCCGAACCCTATCACTGTATCACACGTGCGCTTAATCAAAGGCAAACTCAGCTGTTCTCCCGACTTTCTACTCTTCCAACTGAAGATCTCGGGGTTAAATGTTTAGATGAAATATAACCTTGATTGTAATCATGTTTTCACATGGTCCAATATCCAAATAGAACTATATGCAAGAAGTAATGTCATCAACTAAACTTGCATTAAGCAGTAAAGTTGAAAGGGCAATTTCAGTTTGGTTCTTCTTCAAATGACTAAACACTAAAAGCTTATGTATGAAAAGGTAATAGGAAATTTCTTAACTGATGAAAAGCGCAAGGGTTTCTATAAACTGATCCTTTGGGAACGTAACTCTCCGGCCTGTCGATGTACACCTCCGAGATCGAGATGCCGCTCGTATCGCCTTTCTTGCCCTCCCCAGCCCTTCATTCAGAATCTCAATCTGGCTCTTCTGCGCCTGTTCAAACAAAATAAACAACCAAAACGTTAAAAATAAATACTAAAAGCCACCATGATACTTTCATTATATCAGCTTGACATTATTACTTACGAAGCCAATTCCATTCTGAAAAATCGGAGCAGAACTTGGAGCCGGAGAGATTGAAAAGTGAGAAGAATTTAAATGAGAAGAAAAGGAGTAGAGATGGTGGTAGCGGTGATTGAGGGAAGCGAAAAAGAGGATGAGGAAGACAGATGGGTAAATGAAGAAAGGGATGGTGCAACCGAGGTCAGCCATATAACTGAAAATACTTGGAGTGCAGCGTTGGTCTCAGTGGGCAGGATATCAACTTGAACAAGTAGAGGTTTAGTGAATCACTGACTCTCCTTTTTCTGCAAAAAATCCAATCTCTCTTAACTTAATCAGTAATGTTTGTTGGTAAGCCAACATATATCCTTAAAATTTAAAAAACTCCAACGTTAGGCCTCCTCAAGTTTATATCATAATAACAACTTGATTAATGTTATATCATATGCATTGTTTTTACTTTTATCGGAAAGGTGTTACCAACAATAATGCTTAAGATTATGGATATATTATCATAATTAAAATATAACGATGAAGTACGAGTAGAAGCCCATTAAGCTAACGTATGGGCAGCAATGTTGACAGTACGATAAATAGATCAAACTCGAATGTATTCACGAGTAGACGATAGAGGACACGCTCATCCGAATATAAATTTACCACGAACAAATCGATTGCTAGTTGAGCAATTGATGAACTACATTGACGGTATTACTCTCAGAGGCCAATCCAAATCCATCATCAACCAAATATTTGCTATAAAAGTTTGTGCCTCATATATATATAATAGAAATATACTGTTTTAAAAAATTAATATGTTTGATGATACAAGTTAAATAAATATAATCTTAATTAAAAAAATATTTAAACATGTTTTTAAATAATAATTAATATTATTAGAATTTTATATTTATATTTAAATATTAGATTGAATTTTTAAAATTATCTTTTCAGTCTTAAAATCAAAATCAAAATTGTATTTAAACTCTCTGATCTAGCTATATTTTGAGTAACAATTTTCTTTTCTTTTTTTGGATTAAATGAAAACCCTCTAGTAATTCATTTTCAAGAATTAACATGAACTATTAAAATGCGTAAGCTGAGTCAGCTGCCACCGAATTTTAAGGTTGGCCCATTACCATCAGCCGAACCGGTAATTCACGAACAACAAATTGGATTGAAAAAGTACAGACGGCGATTGATGGCTCAGATACCGGATGAAAGTGGAATGTGAGTAGAAACTGAAGAAGATTCTGGCATACGTTGATATGATCAAAGTAATTGAAGGTTTGGTCACAAATTACATGTTTGGACTGGTAGTTGGAGTTCCCTCAGATAGCTTGCTTCTATCCCTTTCTCCCTTCCACCACATGCAGTAAGCTTCGAATCTAAGCTGTTTTTCTGCAAAAATGGATCAAACATCAAACCAAGTCAATCGACATTTACTTTCAATGCTAAAGTCCCACCAAAAAGCTTCGAAAGATCTGCAGAAGAATCCCATTTTTTTCAACACATGAAACCCAACCCACCATTGATCCTTTCTTAGACCTTGAAAAGGATGCGAAACTCGTTTTTAACAACGACCCTAATCTTTTCAAGCTCTCTCAACTGCTTTGCGACCTCAAAAGCCTGCTTGAAAAGCTCCAAAAATTTCAGGGCTATAGGCTGCCCTGCATCCTCAGACGCCAAATCATCAAATACAAGATTTACCAAGTCGCTTGTGCAATAGAGACTGATATTCAAGCCTATTTTGATCGAGAAATCGTTCAAAACCTTGTGGGAACACTTGAAGGTTCAGCTGATGAGGATGAGAAAGTGAAGGTTTTGGTTGAGTTTGAGAAGCGTCTATCTCGAGGTTTTGATATTCATTTTCAAGATTTAATTTTGAAAGCCAAAATATTCTCGATTCTCGAACATTTACTTTGCGACTCTTCATGCTCGATTAGGGTTCGAGATCAGGTAGCACTAGTGATAGCTTCATTGGTTAGATTTAACATAGATGTTTTAGTGGGACTGGTGCTAATGGGTCCAACTGTTGGAGCTTTAATATCAATGTCATCTTGTTGTTCCATTCGAGTTCTGTCTTTGCTGATCAAGTTTATTAGAATCCCTTTGGTTGATGAACTAGAAGCACAGAAAGAAATCCCAAGAATTATAAGCCTTTTAAGCTCAGAAAATGTGGCGATTCGAGCTGAAGCCATAGATTGCATACTCGGGATCGCGTATTATGGTAGAAGAGAAGCCATTGAAGCAATGCTTGAAGCAGGGTTGGTGGAGAAGCTGGGGAAGTTTCAGGGATTAAAAAAGCAATCCCATGTGGATGAAAATGGGACAAGTAATGAAGAGTGCTCAAAATCAGACCCAGAAATGGAAAGCAACGAAGATGATTTATGTGAGGAATTTTCCACTTGACGATTGTGTTGCAAGATTTGCAATGCAATTAGAATCAGGGGAAATGTTAAGTAAAAAGGAGAAAAGAGAATTTAAGTTGGAGATTTTGAGGAGAGTTAGAGAAGCATCTGTTTCTAAGGCAGAGATAGCTTCCATTGTTGCAGAGGTACTATGGGGTTCCTCCACTTGAAATTTTAGATTTGAGGCTTACATAGAGTTCGTGCTATAGAAATCTGTAATTCATATTTTCTAGTTGTAAATAGTTTTAGGCCAGGAAAGTCGAGAAAAATGTTTTACAAGCATGAATTCCTCATAATAATGTCTTTCAGCTTTGCCGAGACTAGAGGAACTTCAATTTTTTTGTTCTTTTGAAAGGGGTTTTTCTAGAGTAATTTAGACCATTGTTCTTTAGGTTTCGCTTTGGTTTCTTTAAGTTGTCACTATCTTATATTAATTATTTTGTTGGAAACCAGTCATGTCCAAATTAGATGGTCTAGTGTTAAAGGTTCAGCCCAACATGACTGATTTTCGCCGAGCAACACCAGTTGATTTGCCTTTAACAGATTGAAGCAACAATAACCTTGCCTTTCTTAATAAAGTTTGGACCAAATTCAGAATTTTTTTGCCAACCGATACAAGAAAAACATTCAAGTGCAGATATGTATTGCCAAAATTACCAAGGAATCAAAACTAAAAGCACAAAGACTCTCTCTTTACCTTTTGTTCTTTATTTCAACTTTATTGCAAGTTTTGCAGAATTCTATTAAAAAGAGTTATGATAACTTTGGATGCATAATCAACTTTACTAACAAAACAATAATAATAATAATAAGACTACAGGCAGCAGCAGCAGCCAACAGAAGAAAAAAGATCAGTAGGGATTTCCTCCTCGAATGAATTTAGTTAGAAAAAGATGAGGCAGAGTTTTCTTCCTTTCATCCCTCCCTGAAAAACGTTAGATGTTCACTAGAAATTATTAACCCTCTGGTTGGAATCTTGGTATCAACAACTGACCCAGAGCATGTTTGGAAGCAACAAGATAGGAGTGTCTTTTTATGGTGCCGAATACTGAATTGAGCTAGAGCTAAGCCATACAAAAGCTCAACTGCGTTTGTGCATATATGATGCTTCATGAAGTTAAAAAAATCAGAGGCTGGTGAATGAAATACCAACTAAAAGTGAAAATACCATTTTAGAAGGAGAAACCAAGTTTCATATAGGAAAAAGATAAAAGTCTAGCAGTCTATAGGGTTTTACATTTTTTTGGCTAATACAGGAACAGAAGAGAAACTGAGTCTACAAGCTCACTTTGGCCTAGGTCTACCAGGTATTACATTAAGAAAGAAGAACTATATAACCTAATTATATATTCAAGAGTTCGATAAAGCAAAGCAGATTTATCAGCCCTGGGGTTGGGGTTTGGGTTGATCCGAGACTGCAGATTGCGGAGCAATGGTACTTGCCGATCCACTCTCAATGCGTTGCGGTTGGGGAACAACATCCCATTTGCCCTCAGATTCAATTGGTTCAAACACATAAACACTGCCATCGGTTAGGCCTATGGCAAACTGGTTGGGTTCTTGGGGATGGGCAGCAACTGCAAGTGGATGAACAGTTGGGCTGCCATAGATGAACAAAACATGTGTTAAATAGCAAATAACCATCCATTTATCATCAACAAGAAAAATAATGGAAGCAATATAGTTATAGTTGAAGATATTACCTGACATCGGATGCCAGATAGGCAGTGGGACTTATCTGGCACTGTAATTGAAGGTTTGAGGAACTGAATATGCGCACTGTTCCATCCATGAAACTGGTGCACACCAACTGGCTATCACATGAAAATATTCCATGGGTGATTCGTGCAGAAGATTCTCCAATGGCCAACTGAAACGACACGTAACATTCCAATTTTAAAACTTTCAATCGAACAGATACTCCAATTTCATCTGTTTTTCCTTTTTTTGCTAACAAAGAACTCCATTGGCATATATATACATACCTGCTTTATACACTCCAGTTTCCTCACATCATATATGGCGAGTTGAGTTGAGTTTACAGCCAGCAAATGTGTCTGATCCTGCTGAAACTGTATCTGGGTGTCTGACCTTGCGGTTGGCGTCCTTCCTGCAGCAGTTTGCAAGAAACAACCATTCTTCCTTTCCCAATTATTCAAGTCCCACACGATGATCTGTGATATGAACAAGATAAAAGATTTCATGCCTGGTGGGACATCGAACCAACAGTTTTTCGTATGTATGCATTTCAGGAGGGGGAACTTTACCTGAGCATCAGCTCCAGAAGAAACAAGTATATTCAACAGATGGGAAAAGGCAAGACCAGTGACTTTCTTAGAGTGACCCTTAAGCTTGCTCTTGACCTTTTATAGGAAAAAATGTGAACATCAATGAGTTCTCTTTTGTGCTTATAGATGATGAAATTTGTCCTTCCCTAATAAAGATAAAACATACCTCGTCTAGACGAACATTGTATATGTAAACTGTGGAATCATCCATGCCAATAGCGATTATATTGTTATCTTGAGGGTGAAAAGCAAGATATGTTGCCACAGGTGGCGGAGACATGAATGTTATCATTTTCTGTAGTTATTCACAAAAAGTCTAAAGTGGTTAACAAAATTCAATACGCTTCTCAGTACCATTCAAATGGGGATATTCGGATAATGCCTCTTTTGTTCTATAAGAACATTTTATGTTGCAAACTATACAAGTGTTTAGAACCATCTTTCCTGGAATAATACCTTCGAAAACATAGAGCAAATTTTAACACACCTAAACCATTGTAAGTAATTGATCGCATGATTTGAAAAAATTACCTTAAATGACATCATGTTGAACAATGAAATTTTGCCTCCTGATGCAGACATGATGTAGGAGTCATTCTTGGATAATGCAAAACATGGCACAGTTTCAACCGAGTTACCCTCGATAAGATGATTGGTCATCAATATGCCTGATGCCGGTTGCACTAGTTGAGGGGTAATCTTTGTTGTTGCCTACACAAATAGTTTGATAGAATATAACCAAATCAAAAGTTAGCACTTTTCTGTTCATTAGGTTCTTCAGATTGATTAGGAGATTCATATGATATAGAGGCAATTTCTTTACCTTCCCACTCAAATTGAGGTCATTTTGTGGCCATTTCCACAGTAAATGAATAGCGTTAAATGCTAATGCCAAAAGGGCATTACCTGAATTAGTATAAATCAACCTTCCGATCTGAAGCAAGTAACAAAAAGAAGCCTATCAGAAATTTATGGCTACTACAAGAAAACAAACAGTTCATTAGTTTCTGAGGAAAATTCTATGCATTAGTTCTGATGGTCGACTCCATCAGTATATTCAGATATTACATTCAATTCTTTTAAAGTTGTTTTAAGCAATTAAAAAGTAACTGAATAAAATTTATTGATACTCAGTATCAACAAAATATTCAGTGATAAACTTTGATCTGTGAAAATCATACCCTATCTGTTTGGAAACGAGCTGAGAGTTTGAGAGCACGAAATTGAGCAGGTGTGCTGATTTCAGTGAGTTGGCCTGCTCTTACTGGGTTTACTTCTTCCGTTGATTTCGCTCTTGTATCCTCCGACTTTTTTGAGTCACCATTCTAGCAAATGCACCAAAAATATTAGTTTTAAAATTATATTGAATAAACTTGAATAGACCAAGATTCATTAGAGAGTTGAGATGAGAAAAGGAAAGAAGAAAGAGAATCAATGCCAAAATAAAAGGTAAAAAAGAGGATTTAAAGACTGAAGGTCACGGTTGAGAAGGAAATGAACCTCAGGTTATCGCTTTTATAAAGCATTTTCCATAGACTATACTGTATTGGCAATTTAAGAATTCCAGAATAAGTTAATTACCATTGCTGGAGCATCAGATGGAGGTGGTCTTGGAGCAATATGGGAATGAGTTTCATATGTTCGCATCAATCGAAGACCATCAACAGTCGCCAAAATTTTTATTTTATTCTCATTTGCAGAAACAGCCAACAGGGAACCCTCCTTGTTGAAACGGATACGAGGACTTGCCTTGAAATCAGAAAAATTTATCAGCAGAGTGAACTGTGAATCTTATGGTGCAAAATATGTAATATTCATTCAAGCATTTATCCACAGCCTACATAAATGAAAATTAAAAGTGAACTAACCGGTAATCCTCCCTCAGCATCAACAGTCAATAAAAGAATGCAATTTTCCATATCCCAGAATTTAATTGAATAATCATCACCAGCTGCCAAGAAACGATTCTTGGCAGTATCAAATTGCACAACACCCAAATAACGTTTGTAAAATCCTTGGTAGGTTCTCTTCACAGTACCTTCATTTTCATTCCATTCAACCATGTGTGACTCCCCTTCTTTTGTGGTTCCACATGAGAACAACCTACATAAGCCATTGTTCATAAAACAGGAAAATGATGAAAATAACACTAGTGAAAATATGACTTCCTATATATGAACCTTTTTCCATCAGCACTATAGGCCATTGTTGCACAGGAGCGACCAGGAGCATGGTAATCCACCCTGGATCCCATCATGTCATATAACCATGCCTTTATCTTGCCATCCACTGATGTTGAAAAGAAAAACTGAAGAGCGAAATCATAAGCCACAAGATGCAAAGTAAGAAAATATCAACAACAAAAAACCTGTGTATCAAGCATAGGCCTTACATGAACATTTTCTTTGTAATGAGGACAGACAGAATGTACCGCAGCTTCATGACCTTCAAATGTGTATAATTTAACGCCAGTACCTACGTCCCACACCTGAACTCAAGAAATTAGTATAGAAGTTCTGTTATTCTCATTATAAATGAATATATAACTATTCAATCATAACGAACCTTGATGGTCTTGTCATCACCACAAGTAATAACCGATAGTTGCTTAGAGGGGTTACAAAATGCTAGATCATTTACAGAACCAACATGAGAGTCAATCTACAAATCAAATGTAATATCTTTTAGAAAATTAGATAATAATATAGTGTACTACATTGTAGGAAGAAGATATGAGAACACACCTCCAAATGATGTCTAACATCATTCCCTCCAAAATAAGTGTACAACTGCAGCATATGTTTAGATATCCAACTCCTGCTTGGAAAGAAAGCAACAACTTAAGAGAAAATATTGCTACTAAATTGGTAAGCTATTTCAAACACTAAAGTGATGCCATATGTTCAATCTCACCAAACAAAGAACCATCAGGGCTCCATAGTATACGTCTTACTGAGACAGACGGATCTTTGATTAAAGCTGCCTGTGTTGCAAAAATTGTTGAGATCATCTTGGAAAAAAATGAAAACAGCTATAATCTCATTAGATTCTTTTCCTTATTTTCAAAAGAGACATACCTTTAATGCCATCGAACTTGCTCCAATATCCCACACCTGAAAGTTTCTTGAAGCTAACTTCTCTCTTGAACTAACTTCCCACAAACTTATGTCCCCAATGTTTGTTCCAGCTGATAGTAACATCATACAAGGAGATATTAGTCACGATCAAGCCAACCAAACAAAAAAATAATCTGAAATAAAGATCGTAAAAGTAAATCTAACCCAGAAGGAGAGTTTGTTGAACAGGATGAAAGTCCATGCTCGTGGTAACTGATCCTTGGTTCAATGTGCGAGCGACAGTCTTAGGCAATTCTTCAGTCATGTTAAATTGAAAACCATTCTGAGAGGGATTCATTCCCGGAATTATAATCTGACCAACATGAACAAAACTTCAGATATAAGTAGGCTATAACTAAAACAGAAGTGTACTGATGTACTTAGAGTATAACACACTCACCCTGTCAGAAACTGCAGAAACCCTTGCCATTGACATATCAGACCCTAAGAGACCCTTTGACACAGCAGCTAGACCTCACAATAGAACAGATAAAGAAATGAGAAATTATGTTTTAAACCTCTAGTTATAGCTTGTAAAATATAACTGATTACTTACTGGGATTTGACTGACCACCAAGGCCAACTCCTCCAGAAACTAATTGGTGATTCATGTTTGAAGGAGTTGTCACCCACACATTTAAAGGAACTTGAACTGATGTTGATGCAGGTTGGAATGACTTACACAAGAGGAAGATATGAAAAAGTGTTTACTTTATATGGTGGAATTCAGCAAAAGATGATCAGAAAACCAAGCCAGTTGTTTATGCTTACCCCATTTGCAGACACTGGAATGAAGCCTTCTGTTTTTTGTGCAGAAATCATAAGCTGATTGTTTGCTGCTAGTTGTGTGTATGGATCAGTGGAATTTCTACAACTGTGATCCACCATAAGAGTTTTGATATCAGGATTTTGCCTAGGATTTGGACAAAGGGAATGTTGCCAGTTTAAGCTGTCAGATGCAAATTGAAATTAATTTACCTTTTATTGATGAAAGTTTCTAGAAATCCAAAAAATAACAGTAATTTTGATTCAATCAAGAAGAGAACAGTCTCTTCTCTTTCACTTTAATGATCGTCAAAGAGAAGTTTACCTTTGATTAATGAGCATTCGTAACCTCGAACTTTTAATGTTAGGGAACTGCAGCTTATCACATAAAAGAGGATTTGCCTCAATAAGCTTCTTGAGCTCAATCAACATAATCGATCTTGCTGTCTTTGCATCTCTATAAGTTGATAGTTGGTCATTCTCCCTGCGGAAAATGAGTAAGTTACTAAAGTCCACCTGAGGGAAATGTTCATAGAGTTTTAACCAACAAGAAACAATGAAATTCGCAAAACATCAACAGAACATATACCTAAAATTATCTAATGTCAAGAGCTGAGTGATTTCCTTGAATAAATCCTCATTAAAAGAGGAAAAAACTTTAAGATCCTTGGTGAGGATATCGAGAGCCTTGGTCCTATCAAGCCTGATCAATGTAATACCATAAAAAAGCATAGAAAATATAATTAGATGAACTACAGCAAAAAGGATAATCAAAAGACTCTTGATTTTACTTGTCCAATGCCTCCAAGTATTTTTGCTTGCGGATTTCAAAAAATATCTTCATGGAATAGCGATTATCATCGACTTTAGTGAACCCAGAAAGATACTGCTCGACCTCCTCCCATTTTCCGCAGAGGATCAGGTCCTCAAAGTGCTTCGCGCTGAAAAACATCCCTGATTCCTGCTGAAGGCTGTTCAAAACGTTGAAAACTGGCATATTAAAACAATCGCAAACTACTAAAAGGGAAAAAAATATATCATTAACGGTAGTGCTTTTGGTGTTTGG